AATAAAACTCAGTGGTGCTCATACTTCCCACATACTTAACAAAAGTGTGATGGCAACTAAACTAAAATACAAATTTGCCCATAATAGGCATTGAAAATCATAGTTTCAAGTAAATTTCAACATCAATGCACTCTTTTCATACAAAGAATAAACTTCTAATTCACACATAAAAAATTTAGTTCTAATTATCTCATAACCTCCCTTTAATCACAGCATTATGATACTATCATGCTTCTTACCGCTGCTGTTCATTGTGTTGTATGAATGAAATCATAAACTGTAGATAATCACACATTATGATACTATCATGATCTTACCTGCTGTTCATTGTGTTGTATGAATGAAATCAATAAACATGTAAGAATACATAATAGTATATTTCCGTTGTCTTACTTGCTATTCATTATGCTGTATGACTTATGCACTTTTAGTCACATCATAGTCACATCATCAATAAATATACTTTCATGATCTTATTAGCATGAAAGGACATAGGTTCAACCAGATTGTAGCGTCTCAGCTCGGTTCATTTGAGTTAACGGGTGGACCGGGAAAGGATGTTACACATATGTAGCAATAAACATGTACTCACATATGGAATGTAAGCACACATATCATGATACTTTCATTATCCATACTTGCTGCTCATTATACTGTATGATTATGCAATTTGTAGTCCACATAACTGTATAGCTCCATAAGGTTATAGTGAAACCGAAGTGATAAGAAAAACTGTATGAAACTGGATGAAACTGGATGAAACTGTATGCTTGGCTGCTATGGGCCATATAATCATATCCCTAACGGCCTGTAGCCGAAGTACCAAACTGTATGGGGCGCAGATTCTGCTTATTCTATGTCCGCGCATAGCTTATCTACTAGATAAAACAAAAGCAAAGTAACTGTGTCCTAACTTGTATGCTTGTGTCATGTTATTTTCACACCATTTGCATGCTTGCATTTTGTGTTTATACATGTATACATGTTGTCTTTTTGTTTTAAAATGGTTGAAGACATACAAGTTGAGAAAGGAATACAATTATATAGAATTCATAACTTCATACACCATTTCACATCATTTCACAATTGCATAGAATATAATTACAAATTGTGTTTACCTCATTTCACATCATTTACATGCTTGCATGTTGCTTTGATACATGATTTAATGTTGTATTTTTGTTGTAAAATTTTTGTTTTAAAAATGATTTGGAGGCATACAAGTTGAGCAAAGGAATACAATTGCATTGACAAATCGAAGTCCAAAAGAGCATCAAGAACACAAATTTCGCGGAGCGTGTTCATGCAAAAGTCGCGAGCGCGAGAAGTGCCAAATGACGAGTCAGAGGTTTCAGACACAATTCCGCGAGCGCCGCAAAATGAAATTTCGCGAGCGCGCAAACTGAAATTCGCGAGCAGCGCAACGTGTTTTCCAGCCCTGCCGCAGTCTGTACTCTTTTGGTCATATCTCTTCATATACAACTCGATTTGGGTGATTCAAAAACACATGTAAAGCTAACACATAGAGGAACAAATAACTTCTTCTATGACACTTCCCTAATTCCATCGTTAAATAGGGTAAAAATCTAAGGTGGAGTTACTAAAGTAACTTTTCCCAGGCAAAACTTGGTTTCAGCATGAATCAATATCTACTTTCATTTTTATTCATTTCATCTCATGCTTTTTTCAACCAATTTTTTTTTTTTTTTTTTTTTTTTTTTTTTTTTTTTTTTTTTTTTTTTTTTTTTTTTTTTTTTTTTTTTTTTTCAGTCTTCTTAATCATATTTAAGCAACATATCTTCCTATTTCAACACATCACCAAATTATCATTTGCAAGGAAATGAATTAAACTAAAAGGAGATAGCAACCTTCAACTCAACAAGCTTGGAATCTTCTTCTTAGCTTCCTTCCTACCTTGAGATCCACCTCTCCTAACACATAAGATTCTTATGAAATCTTAAAAATATCACCAAATGATTCAAGTTATGAAATTCAAGGAAGGTTTTACTTACTTGGATATAATAGAAGTTGATTAATGCTTGATCCAATTAAAAATCTTCACAATAACGCATTAAAAGTGATGGAAGAAAGGAAAGTGGAAGAGGAAAGTAGAGGAAAGAAGAGGAAGATAGGATGAAGAAATTGAAAATGAATATGGAACTCAACGGGTAGTCTCTAGAATAACATTGACTTTTTTTGTGAAATTACCAAAATGGTTAAACCGTCAAGTGTCAAAATGGTACAACTCAATACTCAAACTTTATCTTTTGTGCAAGTAAGTCCTAACTCCTTATACTTTGATCTTTTTTGTTCCTTCCAGTAAAGTCCACTTCCTTCTCCATTATTTCCTTTTAGCCCCTCTAGACTCTCATGGCTCGAACCGGGTTTAGATCAGCCCGCTCTGACTCTAAGCTTCAACTCGATTCAATAGAAAATTGGGACGTTACACATTATGTTCAAGTGTGGTGTTATAAAATAAAGACAAATGAATTTTCACATTTAAGAATTACATCAAATATAATTTTATTGATTTCTTATTTTAAATTATTTGCCTAACCAAACCCAAACATGACAAATTTATTTGCAAATGAACTCTACTTGAAATTTATTTACTAATGAATTCTACAATCATGATTCATTTTTTTCCAAACGTGGAAAAAAAAAGAGTAAATAGTAGAATAACAACCGTCTTAAACTAAAATTAGAGTTAGAAGACCGGAGAGAAAAGACTTGAGTGACATGACCTTCTAATGCTCTTTCTTTTTTCCATTAGTTTTAAAGCTAACTAATTACCTATTATAATAGGGAAATTAAGAGAGAAAAAACAAGTAATTAGATAACAAATTACTTTCGGAAATAATAAACATATAAAGTACACTATACTGACTTATGAATGCAAGCCTGGGGAAACTGAACCTAGGGCTCTGATACCAAAATTTGTAACACCCCTTCCCGGTCCACCCGTAAACCCGAACGAACAGAGCCGAGATGCTACAAACTGGGTGACTGTATGGTCTGACATGCTGAAAACATACTATATATTGAATATAATAACATGCTTGTACTGTTTACAAAAATAATGTAATTTATATTTACAACACATGATACTAGTTTACAAAATGAAATGGGCCCAACTGAGTGCCCTGTACATGCCATAAAAAGGGTAGACAAAGATACATATTAAAATGAGTAGCTTACTGAAGACTGAGTCTTTCTATAGATGAACTCGCAGCAAGTTGTAGCTGACTCTCTACGGTCCATCTCAAAAACCTGCGAGTTAAACAGGTAACTCACTGAGCAATAAAGCTCAGTGGATCTCTCAACAGATAAAGAAACATTAAACACATACATGTTAGAAAGAACATGTAAACACATATGGCCACATATTAAGACACACATAATGATACTCTTCATGATACCGTTGATTTATGCTTTTGTACTGTTTATAAATACTGTATAATTCTGAAATGTTATGTCAGATAATCTGTAGGGCT